AAAAAAAAAAAAAAAAAAAAAAAAAAAAAAAAAAAACCACAATGGAACATCACCTCAACTGTTAGAATTGCTATCATCAAAAAGACAGATAACAAATGCTGGTGAGGATGTGGAGAAAAAGAAATCCTTGTGCACTGTTTGTGGGAATGTAAATTGGTACAGCCACTACAGAAAACAGAATGGAGATTCCTTAAAAAAATTAAAAACAGAAATACCATATGATCCTGCAATTCCACTTCTGGGTATTTATCTTAAGGAAACTAAAACACTAACTCAGAAAGACTTATGTACCCCCCATGCTCATGCAGCATTATTTACAATAGCAGGCATGGAAACAACCTAAGTGTCCACAGATGGATGAATGGGTAAAGAAAATGTCACACACACACACACACACACACACACACACACACACACACGGAATATTATTCAGCCACTAAAAAAAGAATGAAATCTTGTCGTTTGTGACAACATGGATGAACCCTGAAGGCATTATGCTAAGTGAAATAAGTAAGAGCAAGACAAATACTGTATGATATTACTTATATGTGGAATCGAAAAAACCAAAAACCAAAAGACAAACTCCTAGACACTGAAAACAGACAGATGGTTGCCAGAGATGGTGGGTAAGGGGTGGACAAAATGGGTGAAGGTGGTCAAAAGGTACAAACTTTTAGTTATAAAATAAATAAATCAGGGGGATCAATGTACAGCACGATGACTATAGTTAATAATACTGTACTGTATATTTGAATGTTGCTAAGAGTGTATCTTAAAAGTTCTTATCACAAGGAAAAAAACAACTCATAATTATGTATAATGATGAATGTTAACTAGATTTATTGTGGTATTTTTGCAATATACACAAATATCGAATCATTATGTTATTCACTTGAAACTAATACAATGTTATATGTCAATTGTATCTCCAAAAAAATAAAACAAAACAACAACAAAAAGCCCCACATACCTAGAGAGAAAAATTTTGGAAGAATGTACATTATGTTATTACAAGTGATTATTCTGGATGGTGGGACTATGAGTAATTATTGACTTTATACTTTCCAAGTTCCTTAAAAACTGAATAGTTTACAACAAACCTGCATTAATTCCATCATCAGAAATATATGAGAGGTATTTCTGCATAACAGATTTAACAGAGTTGGAGGCAAGTTTTCCTTCTGTTTAATAACATTATGAATAAAAAGATCTTCAAAATGAGTGGGAACATGAAGGAAATTTGTGACTGAAATAAATTACTTCTACAAACTTATGAACATCATTTAGTTGTATCACACCAGTGCAGTAGGGTACATTCACTATTCACGTACTTGAATTAACAAAATTCAAGATGGTAGCATTTTCAGACTAAATAAGAAAATGTGTGTAAAGAAGGCAGAAATGTGTTTGGTACAGCGTACACACTTATTACATATGGCTTAATTTTTAACTTCATTATTCAAAAACTAATATTTTAGATATATAAAATTGCTTACAAATGCAATCTTAGTAAAACAGATTCATATACAATACTGACAATTTGGAATGTTCTTTTTCCTATGTAAAAATACTGTATAATATTACATATTAATCATTTTTCTTTTTATGACTAACTCCATAGTTTCTCTTATCTGCATGGTATTATCATCACATTTACGTAATGTGATTAACTTAGTTTTTAAGATTATATACAATTATATAACCCCATGAAGTTACAGACTTTCTGCAAACAAAACCAAACATACCAAAAAAAAACAGTTAGGAACTATATAATAGAATAATTTTGAACATAATTTCAACAGATTTGTGGTCCTTTGTGAGCACCAAAATGGAATCAAATTGCCTTAGGTTAAGAATTTCTATTTTAGGACTTTTGCAATTCTGGCTGTTAAAAATTCCTTTTAAGTGCTCATCAAAATTAACTTTATATTTTCATTACTCTTCATTTATAGAAATTTATAAGGAATATTTAGAATCTTCACATAATAACAACTGTTTTTTTTCTTGAGGACTTATTAAGTACAAGGTACGCATTAAGTGGTCTAGGGCTATGCTCAGATTAATGTATCCAATTCTCATAAAATCCATAAAGCACTGATGTGATTATTATGTACATTTTATAAAAAGAAATTATAAAACATAGACTAATAAATATTGACCTCATTGAAATATGACTAGTGTGAACAAAGAACTGAATTTTCAATTTAGTTTTAATTAAAATACAAAAGCAATATAAAATGTTTTTCAATTAAACACAATTTTATTGTTTTGGTGTGAATATATTTCACCTTAACCACTGAAAATTTAGCATCCAAATTGAGAAGTGCTATAACAATAAAATATACACGAAATTTTGAAAACTTAGTATGAAGATATGAATGTAAAATACTTCAATTTATTTGTTATTATATGTTGAAATAATATTTTAGAGATATTGGTTCAAATAAGATGCATTATCAAAATTAATTTCAACTATTTCTTCCTACTTTTTAAAATGTGTTCAATAGAAATTGTAAAATTATCTAAGTGGCTTTCATTATATTTCCATTAGTATTGCTTTAGACTCAAATACCACTATACCACACTGTCTATCACAGTCTACACCAATATGTGGTCTGAAACAAAGTCTACTGCCAAATCTCAAACAAGACTTGGTTGTCACCACTCAAAACTCCCCATGGATTCTCTGGAAAAACTCCCTGCCCTTGTACACACATACCTCTCTTCACGAAACTCCAATCATATACCCACTCTTAAATGTCAAAGTCAACTTTGTCACTTACTGATTGAAATCAAACCACTTCCTATCTTGCCTTGTTTGGAAACCAAAGGTATCTGCTATGTTATTCTACCTAACTTTAACAAAGCGTATTCTAAAACAAGCCCTTAATTTATCCTCCATGAGTTGTATTTCTGTGCTATCCTTTGGAAAGAAGAGCATGTGCGGTAATTGAATGATTTACCCAATGGGTAAGTTAACTGGAAGGGAAAAGGGTATTTGGAAAGGCACTGGGAGAGAAGGGGACCCATCTCTATGGCCCTGTTATTAACTGGGAAGGGAAGTCCTATGAACCAGGAAAATTGATAAGTCACAATTAGGTAGGGAAATTTAAAAGAAGGAAAGCAAATATTCTATGCTCTGTAAAACAAAAATGTATGATAACAAAAAGCAAACACGAACTGACCTTGTATGGGCCATTAAGTTAGTAGCAATGCTCTCCACTTCAGAACTTGCAGAGCTACAGGACCAAGAAGAAGGGACTTGTGAGACTCAGGACTGGCTAAGAGTCGTGGTGAACACACTGTCCACCATCAGACATGACCCATCACCCACCACAAATACAAGTGGATGGAAGTAAGAGTGAAACTAGAATGCTGACTTTTACCAGTATCAGAGAAAAAGGTAAGCATCACCTATGCCCAGAGCTGGAATCTAAGTTCACAGCAGTTTCTACAGGACACAGCTCAGGGAATGCTGTGGTTGTGAAAGGTGTAAATGGCCTCCATAATGCATCCAAGGGAGTTTAACCCACGAAGGGATTCTACACCTGTGCCCTCCTCCTCATGTCTTCCCAGAAGCCTGTCTTGAAGGCAAGTGCAGGCCTAGATGCTAATCCAAGGATTCAGTATGTACTTTTCTATTGGGAACTTTCATTATAGGAGTGAAATTCATGACTTTCACTCTGATGGCCATCCCTCTACAGCTAGACCCAACTGGCTACATGGTGTGAGGACAGAAGAGAATCCAGGGAAACATATTCCAAGAAGCGATGGAACCTACAATTGTACCTGGATGGGCAACACTCACTTCACCAATGCCCCCTCTGTGTAAAGTACGAGGCTGGGTACTGGGGACATGGTGTTAATAGCTTATACACACACACGTACAAAAAAAATTTACACACTCCTAGATGAAAAAAACAAAACTCCAAACTTCAACAAGCTCATTGAAAACAAAATTTTAAAACTCCACTTCGTGCACACTTATAGTCAGTCACAACAGAGATGTTACAGGATCACTCGGTCACTGTGTCAGTCAGACACCCTCGTCGCCACGTCCATGTTAACCATGATCACACAGTAGGCTCCGCCCCCGCTGACAGTCTCACCAACCCAATCAGATACCAGTAACGCCAACCCAGGGCCCCGTCACACGCACTCTAGCCCTCGCTCTCACGCACGCACAGGCGCGAACTAACACTCAACAAGGACGCCGTCACAAACAGTAGCACCCGCAACCATGGTCGTCCGCGGCTCACGCATACACAAGCTCCTGGCTCCACAAGCCCCATCCACGCTCTGCGAGCTTCAGGCCTCCTCACCGCCAGCCCCTCCCGCAGCTTAACCTGCGTCACCTCAACTCACCAGGTATAACCCAATAATGACCACGACACCGGAAGGTGAACCAAAGGTCGAAGGTCATTGGCGGCTCTGGGGCCTGTGGGAAACGTAGTCCAACACCGAAAAAGTCCAGACTTTCGAGCGGAGCGTGGAGCCCATCAGCTGCAGAGACACTCCCCTCCCCGCCCCGAGACTACCGGGAATTCCAGGGCGCAATGGTCGCACGACTTTGGTGGAGGGGTTGCATCTGGTTGTCCTTCCAGATGCCGAAGAGCCGGGTGATGGTTCTCTGAGAGCGAGGTGAGGTCGCGGAAGGAAGGAGAGCCCAAGCTGAGGAAGTAATCGCAAACCTGGGCCGGGGAGGGCAGAAAAGGGAACTGGAAGCCGGGTGCGGGCCGAGGAGGCAAACGGAAGAATCCTGGCTCGGGTAGGGCTGGCTGAGAATTGGAAGCTCCGGGCCTAGGAGGGAAGAGGGAGTTGGGAACCCGGCAGAGGAGGGCCGGGGCGGGAATCGTGAATCTCTCCCGAGGGAGGCCGGGCTAAGAAGGGCTGAAGCCGTGCGGAGGGACTTCGGGCAGGAGAGAGACCAGGCGAGAAGTTCACTCAGGCCTGTACGTGCGGGACCCCAGGTCCGTGATCGTGAACCAGAGGGTCAAGGGTTTTGTTGTTTTTGTCAGTTTTGGCCCTTGAGAAAGCCCCAACACCCATGGCACATAGCAGACGCGCAGTGAGTGTATGCACGCCCTTGGCGCGTTTAATATCGTCACCGCCAGGAAGTTCGCTGGTGTCCTTTTCCTTTAGTTTCATAGCAGAGACAGCCATGGTTCTGATACATGTCATCGTAGTTTAGCTTTGTCAGTTCTACAATTCCAATTGTCTCCTTTAGCTCATCCTACTATTGTAAGATTTATTAATGTTGTTTAGTTCATTCCTTTTGTTTCTGGACAGCATTCCATTGTGCAAATGTGCCACAATTTGTGTTTCCATTTTTCTCTGTATGAACATTTAGTGTATTTCCAGGTTTTATGTATTTTGATAACGCTGGCATGTTTCCATTTCTCCTGGGGAGATACCTAGTGGAAGAAAATGCTGATAATAGGTTAAGTTTCTATTTAACTTTCTAAGAAGCTGACAAACCTTGTAGGATGATTAGTTACGATTTCTGTTTGAGACTGTATGTGACTGTGAAGTAAGTGGTTTCTGAGTTTGATTTGGTATTCTTCTATGGAATTAGGAGATGGGCTCAGTGGAGTTAGGAATATCACGTAGAGTCCATGGAATTGTGGTTTTGTGAAGTGGGTGAGATTATAGGAAACAAGGTGTCTGTACCAACTCTTATCATGATTTTGTGTGTTCATTATAATGTGACTGTGAAAATGGATCACTACATAGGTGATATTAATGAATGACTGCGAAACTGTGTGTGTCTAGTTAGGTGTGTTTCATTTTGGTTCTGCTTGCAGAATTATGACTGTTTCTAATCAAGTAAAATAGCAGTATAAGATTATCCAAAGGAAATGAAAACAGGATATTAAAGAGATACCTGACTCCTTCCTATCTTCACTGCAGCAATATTCACAATAGCCAAGACATGGAAATAGCCTAAGTGTCCACTGACAGATGAATGGATAAAGAAAATGTGTGTTTACACCCATGCACTCACTCACACACACAGTCATTCACACACATACACACACACACACACACTGGAGTATTATTTGGCCTTAAAGAAGGAAATCCCGCCATTTGTGACAACATGGAAGGACACTGAGGGCATTATGCTAAGTGAAATAAGTCAGACAGAGAAAGGCAAATACTATGTTCTCACTGTATGTGGAATCTAAAAAAACCCAAACTCATTGAAATACAGAGTAGAATAATAGTGGTTGCCTGAGGGTGGGAGAAAGGGAGAGATGTTGGTCAAAGGTTATAAGATGAATAAGTTCTGGGGATCTAATGTACAGCATGGTGACTATTATTAATAATACTCTGTATTATATACTTGGAGGTTGTTAAGTGATTAGATCTTAAATGTTATCACCACACAAAAAAAAGCATAATTATATGAGGTAACTAACCTTATCGTGGTGATCTTTTCCCAGTATATACATGTATCAAATCATCACATTGTACACCTTGAATTTAAGTATGTTACTTTAAAAAAAAAAAGAATTGGAAAGTAGGAGGTAAAATCAATTTCTAGATGACTGGATTGTATACTTGGAACATCATCTGAACTAATTCTAATATGTTGAAATGACTAGGGTTCAATAAGTAGTTCACAAGAAAATACTTTTTTTACCTCTATGTACTACTTTTAACAGATTTGAGTGAGTTTTTTTTCCCCTGTTCCTGGATGAAATTATGGGTAATTTAATAACTTTTTCATTCGCTCTAAGCTAAGGAAAAGTATCTGAAATACTTTGAATCACAAGGTCAGTCTCATAGCAATTAAATTAGTCATTTTCTAATAAAAACGTTTACTGTAAAAATCAATATTTAAACTTCATTTAAAGGAAAAATTTCTTCCATCTGACTGAAACCTGCAGTGTGGAAAAGTATATAATCGGTTTCTTCTCTATTTCCCTAACCTGTATTACTGAATAGTTAATATTTAGCATAATGAATATTAATATTTAATAGTAACTGTTTACTATGTAAGTAGGCAGATTTAATCAAGTTGTTGTGGAAACTCTAAGGTAAGTGCAGTTTCACATGGTTTCTTATGCCTCCCTTCTCTCTTCCTTGTTCATTTTTCTAAAAAAGAATCGAAAAGAGCAAAGGTCCTCTCTTGCAAACCTTAAAGCCATGGCTCCAATTAGATGATGTTTCTTTTCTCCTTTCTGCAATAGTCTTTTTCCCCTAGCATATATGAGCAGTTTCCCATTTTGAAACTTCCTGGAGATAGGATTCCCTTTCATGAAACTGGTCCACATTTCCTTTTGTTCTCTCCAGATAAACCTGTACCTATTCAACATCTTCTTCTAATTTTAACTAATGTTCACTTACTAATTGCATGTTTCGCTCAGCATCTCCTTTCTCATGCCCACAAATGGAAATACATTCTCTTGAATTAAATAAGCATATATTCCTTGAATGAACCTTTCTTGTCTAGACAGTCTAAGTATTGAGTGCTTAGGAGAGCCCATACAAGAAGACTTTATTATGTCCACAGACCTTGGTTTTCTAGTGAGTAAACATAGATGTAAAATCAATAGATTATAATATTACTATATGGCAAGAAGGGAGGTCCCCGTGTTACACTGTGTCCTTTCTTCCATCTCCAGCTCACCCTTATGGATCATATTTCTCGATCTCTCCCTCGTAGTCATATCCCAGGAGTGCTTTGTCCTATTTACACGTCTCCATTCTGTAACAAGCACCAAAGGCATGGAAGTAATCTATGGTTGAAAGAGCAGCTATAAAAGCCTACTTTCTATACACACTAAAGCACTGGAGAAGAGAAAGGTCAAGAGAAGCAGGTCCTTGGTGACAGGAGCCTAGGAATAGAGCAGGCTTTGAACCTCAGTAAAATTAGAAAAGCTGCCCTAAGCCTTCCTTTGGTCATTAATTCAATACTACCCACTCTTTTTTCTTCTCCATGCCTCCCTTACATTTTTTTGAAAATGAGGAAATCATTCCATTTTTTTTCTCTCCTCTAGGTAAGAGGTAAGAACGAAGTATAGTAGAAATTTTTAAAATTATTTATTTATTTTTTTAAATTTATTTTTGGCTGCGTTGGGTCTTTGTTGATGTGCACAGGCTTTCTCTAGTTGCAGTGAGTGGGGACTACTCTTAGTTGCAGTGCACGGGCTTCTCATTGCAGTGGCTTCTCTGGTTGCAGAGCATGGGCTCTAGGTGCACAGGCTTCAGTTGTTGTGGCACATGGGCTCAGTAGTTGTGGCACACGGGCTTAGTTGCTCCACGGCATGTGGGATCTTCCTGGACCAGGGATCAAACCCATGTCCCCTGCATTGGCAGGTGGATTCTTAACCACTGTGCCACCAGAGAAGTCCCAGAAATTTTTTTTAAAGAGAGACATAACAAGTGGATACCTGTCCCTACTCCCCCTATAAACACAGAGAAATGCCATCTAAACTATGACAGAATGTCTTAAAAATGGTCAAGTTCAAAAGAAAAGAAAAGGAAAAAGGAAAATTCTGCATCCAGCAACAAAGAGATGAATCACGACAGTAAATATAAAGGTAACTGAGCTGACACCTCATAGAGATCTTTGATCCCATATATAATGCTTTAGAGTACTAACTGGGGTCTGGGGTTCTAATTTCTACACAGGAACAGGGGGCAGAGAGCTGGAACTAAGACTCTGCTTAGTCCTATAAAATATTTCTAGAAAAATACTACTCACTGGCCCAAAGAGATGAGGGAACTTGCAATCTCTGAGACTTTTTTAGGGGATTGGGGGCAAAAAATAAAAATACGGTATTACTCCACTTATATGAAGTATCTAGAGTAGTCAGACATATAGAAACAGATAGCAGGATGGTGTTTGCCAGGGGCTAGGGAAGAGGAAATGGAGAGATATTGTTTAATGGATACAGTTTCAGTTTTGCAAGATGAAAAGTTCCAGAGAGAATATTTAAATTATTTGAGGCAGACAGCTTACCCAGTAAGACTAAGTTGCTGTTTTCCATCATCACATCCCAGTACAGTTCCCTCAGAGCAGAACCCCAGATATTCCACTCCTCCTGAGTGAACTCTAGGGCCGCTTTCCTGAATGTTCCCCATTCCTAAAAGCACAAACCCATGCATTACTGGTGAAATTCAAGAAATATTTTCAAAATAGAAAGAGAGTAGATAAAGGTTTGAAGTCCAAGAAGGGGGCTATATAGCAAGCAAATAGGCTGTGGCTGGAAGTCTATGGTAAGAGAAGTTAAGGAAATCAGTGTTTCAGAAACAGATTATACACATATTTTTAAGTAATCTAGTTGATTTAGTTCATGCCTATTTATTCCTCAGATAAAAACATGTCTAGAAACATGGCTAGAAATGAATAAAAGAATCACAATTTACCAATTAACTGAAATAGTGAATATGAGCATACTGCATGCCATATGCCTACCTCATAAGTTATTAATAAATGTTAATTTTTACATTCTCTTTTTTCATTATAGACTAAGAAAATATAATTCATGGAATTTCTTTTCCAACATAGTATTAAATCTCTATATAGATAGAGAGATAATAGTTTGCATAAAATTAAAGAATTTCTTCAAGCCTCAGGTTCATCATTATGTTATATACCTTTTTTTTTTTTTTTTTTTTTTTTTTTTTATTTTTTTTTATTTTTTGTGGTACATGGGCCTCTCACTGTTGTGGCCTCTCCTGTTGCGGACGCGCAGGCTCAGTGGCCATAGCTCACGGGCCTAGCCACTCCGCGGCATGTGGGATCTTCCTGGACTGGGGTACGAACCCGTGTCCCCTGCATTGGCAGGCGGACTCCCAACCACTGCGCCACCAGGGAAGCCCTAGTTGTCATTTTTTTAATGGTTTCATATTTCACACTAAATTGTTCTCTAACTTGTTTCGGTTTGGGTGTAAGACCATTATTTAAAAATATGTAATAAGCACTAAACTTTCTTATGCCAAAGTATTTAGTAAATTTTTTAACAGCTACAGTTAATCTAGTAGATATATCACTCTTAATTATTCTTTTATACTACCAAGTTTAGGGTGGGGAAAAAAATCTCTAACATCTTTTCTACTGATGGGAGTCTGTAGTTAGCTACTTCTTTTAAATCTAGCTGAGCCACCATCCCTCACTGAATACTTTCCTTGATCCTGAGTTAGTGGATATAAAACACAGAATGGTCCATAATCACATAGAAAATCATCTTAAACCAGCACAAACTTTTCAAGTACACAATAAATCTTCCTCCTGATAATCATCTTTCCATGACTGATTCCCAAGGTAGATCCCTGATCTCTCTGTATGCAAGTCCCAATTTTACTCCTACCCAATCCTAAAAGCCTCATAAAACATGTAATCTCAACACATACCAACACTGGGGCCAATCAACTGCCAATCATATATTTTCCTAGAAATGCAAAGAATTTCTAAGTTTTTCCATGAGTAATCAAATGGGACCAACTTCTCTTAATCATCTCTCCACCATTCTTTGGATGGTGAAATACCTCCTCCTCAAGCGATTTAATTTTACTCCATAATTCTTCTTGAAATAAGGCTGAACTTATAGGAGATGCTACACATTAATGGAAGAACAGGGAGAGCCATCAGGAGGACCCTGGGCTGGTTGGCATCATACTTCACTGGTATGGTAGGAACTGGGGACAGCTTCTTAGAGATCTCTGTTACACAGGACATTTCTAAATAAAGAAATGTTCACATGATCTAATATATAACTATGTTCAAGAACTAGGGAGAAACAGAAACTTACCAAAGCCATGGTTTAAAATGGTTGAGAACCTGTCAGTACTCTTCGGGGTTTCCCTCCTGGAGAAGCACAGAGACTACAGAGGTGAGAACTGGGAAAAGAAAAGTTGCTCTGACACCACATGTACTTCTCATCTCCCCAAATGATACACATTAATATGTGCTTTTTTCTTTTGTCTTCCTGCCTGTAAACAGTACCTTATCAACATACATAGAAAATAAAAGGTAAGATGGGTTCTGGACAAATCTAAACAGTCCACACACAAAGAATCCAGTAAACAGGCACAGATATCAAGCAGAGGTCCTCCTGTCTGAAAGTAAGATCCAGACACTTCAGCAGGAGGGTTCTGGCTCGTCCTCCACTCTGCCAATACTGGCCTGGGCCTGAGATTGGGCACATCTCGAGCAGATACTCCTCCCGCTATTCTACTTTACAGGGCTGCAAAGGGAAGACACCATCCACACCTAAACCTCATCTTTGGCCTCAGAGATTGACACATACTGTAAATTCCAGTAAGGTCCACAACAATATTTCAGGTCCTGCATGTCCTTCCAGAATTTTGCCATTCACCTACGTCATCAAGAAGTGGGGTTTAGGGGCTTCCCTGGTGGCGCAGTGGTTAAGAATCTGTCTGTCAATGCAGTGGACACGGGTTTGAGCCCTGGTCCAGGAAGATCGCACATGCCGTGGAGCAACTAAGCCCGTGCACCACAATTACTGAGCCTGCGCTGTAGAGCCCACGAGCCACAACTACTGAACCCCGGGCACCCTAGAGCCTATGCTCCACAAGAGAAGCCACCGCAATGAGAAGCCTGCGCACCACAACAAAGAGTAGCCCCCACTCACTGCAACTAGAGAAAGACCACACGCAGCAACGAAGACCCAACGCACCCAAAAATAAATTAATTTTTTTAAAGTGGAGTTTATTTCCCTTCCTTTGAAACAGAACAGGCCTTTGTGATTCTCTTGATGAATAGAGTGCAGTGGAAATGACACTGTCTATTTTCCGTGGCTAGATTAGGAAAGGCAATAGAGCTTCCTACTAACTCACTCTCAAGGCGCTCACCCTGAAACCCACCCATTTTGCTGTGAGGAATCCAAGCAGCTACACAAGAAGGCCACAGCTAGATATTCCAACCACAGTCCAGCTGAGGTTCCAGCTGACTGCCAGCATCAACCACCAAATACGTAAGTGAGCAAGCCTTCTGATGATTCCAGTCCCCAATCTTAAAACCACCCCAGCTGAAGCCAAGTAGAGCAGAGACTAGCTGTCTCCACAAAGTTCTGCCCAATGAACAACTTAATGATTAAAACAAATGATATCATTGTTCTAAGCCACTAATTTGGGGATGGTTTTTTAGGTAGAAACTGGGAATGCCTGATCACCCCACACACAAAAACAGAAAACAGTGCCATTGCAAAACAACATTGGCTCACATGGAGTCCTACCCCCAAGCCAACACAAGTCCCAGAATCCAACAGCTTAGCACTTCCCATTTCTTTCTTTCTTTTTTTTTTTTTGTGGTACACAGGCCTCTCACTGTTGTGGCCTCTCCCGCTGCAGAGCACAGGCTCTGGACGCGCAGGCTCAGCGGCCATGGCTCACGGGCCCAGCCACTCCACGGCATATGGGATCTTCCCGGACCGGGGCACGAACCCGCATCCCCTGCATTGGCAGGCGGACTCTCAAACACTGTGCCACCAGGGAAGCCCCTATTTTTGTTAATCTTTGATTTGTATATCCTGAAGCTGTTATTAGGTATATTCAAATTCATGACCACTATATCTTCTTTTTAGGTTTAAACTTTTATCATTATGAAACGTCCCCGTTATCTCTCGTAAGTCCTTTTTTTTTCCTGATCTTAATAGAGAGACACCAATTTTCCTTTAGTATTCGTATTATACCTCTTTCAGATTTCGTTTTCTGTCATTATACTTAATATGTGTCAGCTGCTAAAAGCATATGGTTGATTTTGTTCAACAATTTTCTTTTTATTGGAGTGTTTAATCCACTTTCATGAAATTTAATTACTAATAATGTTGGGTACACCAACGTTTGCTTTTATGTGTCCCCTCTGTTTCTTTGTTCTTCTATTCCACCATTCTTACCTTCTGTTGTATTAGTCAAATACTTTTATTATTCTAGTTTTCCCCATTAATTTATACTGTCATACATTATTCTTAGTGGTTATCATAAAGATTGCAGTATTATGCTTATTACAACTAGAACTCTCATGCAGTGGCTGTTAGAGCATAGCATACTGGAAATATGTTTTTTGGTGTCTACAAAACTAAACATAGATGTATTACATAACCCAGCAATCCTTTCCCTGTGCATCTCCACAGCAAAAATGAATGCTTAAGTCCACAAAACACATGTACAATAATGTTCATAGCAGTAGTATCTCTTCAAGAAAAATTAGAAACAACTCAAATTTCCAACAACGGAATAACAGAAAAATAATCTGTACAACATCCTATAATGGAATACATAGCAAAAGAAAAGGTGCCTGCTATATGCAGCAACATGGATGAATCACACAAAGATGTTGAAAAAAAAAAAGATCTATCTTTGGGCTTCTCTGGTGGTGCAGTGGTTAAGAATCCGCCTGCCAATGCAAGGGACATGGGTTTGAGCCCTGGCCCGGGAAGATCCCACATGCTGCGGAGCAGCTAAGCCTGTGCACCACAATTACTGAGCCTGCACTCTAGAGCCTGTGAGCCACAACTACTGAGCCTATGTGCTGCAACTACTGAATCCTGTGTGCCTAGCCCGTGCTCTGCAACGAGAAGCCACTGCAATGAGAAGCCCGCGCATTGCAACGAAGAGTAGCCCCCGTTTGCCGCAACTAGAGAAAGCCCGTGTGCAGCAACGAAGACCCAACACAGCCAAAAATATAAATTAATTAATTATTTTTAAAAAAGATCTATCATTATGTGAAGTTCAAAACCAGTAGATTTTGATTGGGGAGGTACATAGATATTTGTATTCAGTGAGACCCAGATAAAAGGGTAAACTATTCAGTTCCTATATTATTCCTCTGAAAAAATACACCTGAGCAAGTTACTGTCATCTGCATTCCACCCAGCAGGAGCCAATGTGACACTGCAGAACATGTCTACACTTGAAATGACACAAATATTCCCAGAGGGTCCTAGATGGGGAGGTAAAGTTGGCCAAGACATGGGAGCTGCAGAGCAAGTAGAAGCAAATGCCCAGGTAAGATTCAGCTTTAGCAATAACTGATTGGTTTAAAATAAATTATAGAACATCCATTCATGACTACTAAGGTGGTCATTAAATGCATGGTTATAAAAAAATTTGTAGTTAACATGTTCAATCATATCTCAATAAAGGTTGGAAAAAGTATGAAAATATTCAAAACATATTCAATAGTTTTTTTAAAATAAATACATAAATGTAATGTCATTTTGCCTGTAAAATGTATATATATAAACAGAAAGAAAAATATCTGGAAAGTTATGAAACTTTATGTTAGCATTGCTTCTCTATGCTGTCTGTGATTTTTTTATTTAAAACTACTTCTTAAGAGTGGCCATGTATTAATGTTAATATATTTTTGAAGAATAGCTTTCTTTTTAAAGACTTTTAAAGTGCATATTTATATTAATACATGGCCACTCTTAAATTAAGAAGTAGTCTTAAACAGTCTTCCCTGAACTTTGAGAAGATGCTCAGGATAAATAGATGCCAACTCTGAATGGCTTTTGTTTCTTTCTGCTCCCAACACCTGATTTAACACTTTGATTTTTACATATGGCAAAGGAAGTTGGAGTTTTGCCTAGAAAAGAACGGTTAAAGGTCCCTGAGAGAAGTCTCATAAGTTTTGATGTTCTAAATGCTGCCTTCATGTCTTCCTGATGTATGGGTTTAATTCACTTCTAATTCATTCCTTTTAGCCCTGATGACAACCAAACACCTGTTTAATCTTGTTCTGTTAGTCTCATTTTTACATCTAATCTCACGAAAATTTTCTTGAATAAAACCTATTTACCTCCCCAGAGCTTTTATGTCTTCCAATATAACTGGTCATAACCTAAGAATGCTGTCATCAGAATGTCTCTTCCATATGCATTCCCAACACGTGTCATCTGACTTAAGAGCCTTTATCACAGCCTACCTTATATTTATTCCCACATATATTTGACCTTTGCTTAATAATGAGCAACTTAACCTCTTTTTAGTGCTGGTGTCCCGTCAAGTACTAGAATAAGTTCTGGCATATTGTGAGCAGGAAACATATAAAAGTAGATGAAGATATATCTAAGGATATTCATCACAGTTTTGATAATCATAAATATCTCAGGGTAGAAAAGAGGTTAAATAAATTATTGATGGGAGTTCCCTGGTGGTCTAGTGGTTAGGATTTGGCACTTTCACTGCTTGGTCTGGGTTCAATCCCTGGTCAGGGAACTGAGATCCCACAAGCCACATGGGGCAGCCAAAAAAAAATTATTGGTAGCTATTATTAATATGTACATTAGTTTTTAAAGGTGATTACTCTAATTCATAGTAAATGTTGAGGAAAGACATTTGTAATGAATTAATAAGTAAGACAGGCAGCTTAAAAACTTATCGAGAGATTATGTGCAGTTGTAAATAAGAACAAGCTCTGTGGTTAAACTTTCAGTATGTCAACCTTAGCTCTAAAAGTTATTGTGTGTGTTCATAAGTATCTTATCTGTACTGCCTAGATTTCCTTATCAATAAAGTGAGAAAAACAATAGTACCTAGTACCTCAAAGAGTTGTCAGGATTAAGTGAAAATAAAAAACCAAAAAAAATTATCTATTTTTTATTGATGACGAAGAGACTATTTCATATCCTGTAATTACCATTAAAGGAAATTCTCTTCTTTGCTTACCATTTTTCCTGAAAGTGAAATTCGAGCTTCTTAGGCCTGCTCTTCCTTATAATGCTAATATATTGCAGAGCACAGCTTACAAATATAATTTGTTTTCACCAGCAACATTACTCACAAAGAATGGGAGAAAGAAGAGGACAGCAGCTACAGGTAGACACCATTCTGCCTCATAAAGCTAGCTAAGAGAATCTGACCCACTTAAGTAA